TCTCTTCTCCCTTCTACAGTCTACCAGAGCAAGGCATGGGCATAAAGGATTTTGTAGAACAAATCAGCAACAAAGCTGAAATGGTACTTCTCAGGGCAAATTGATGTATTAATTTTAATAAAAAATGAGTGTATATTTCCTGTGCAACAATAGATGTGTGTATGTATACATATAGAGGTGTGTATGTGTTTAGGTGTGCATGTACATATCTCAATCTACATTTTTCCTCAAGCTATTTTCGTTTCCACCTGCAACAGCGGTTACAGCCCTTGGATGTTGCTCCAATCACTCGATATAAAGGCATGGTAGGCGTTTGGGCACTGCAAGATGATACCGACAGTTCAGACTTGACAAAGGGAAAGTGCAACCCATGCTATTTTTTTAGGGTTTGAGGCTGGGAATTAATGTTCTTTTTACTATCGTTTTTACAGGCAGGATGCTGAGCTGCTCCCATCTATCCAAAAGTTTTAAAATAGCCTCCTCCCTGCTGATTAAACATCCCTTTTTTTTCCTTTTTTTTTCCTACTTTCTTTATAGGACTAACAGTCAGGACACCACATGAACATGATTATGCAGCAATATCAGAATAGTTGAATCTCATTGCTCTGGTACCGCAGTAAGCTCCACCTGAACTGACATTTCTGAGCCCCCTCCGGGAGAGCCAAGTGGTCTGTTACAGATTGCAGTCTCAGAGATGAGAATGACTATCAAGGCAATAAGACTTCAGGCAGAAACTGAGATCTCTATCCAAATTCTGCATAAAAGGATTAGATCCACACATCACTCTCACACAGCTTGAGTGAAAAGGAATTGGAGGCAACAAAGTCACACTAACAAAGTCTGAACGCTGCTGATTTCACATGCTGTGCACATGTGTGAGTACTAATTTCCCCAGAAGGTGGCATGTAGTGCTATGGGCTCTTGTATTTCCCATACTTTATCAGCCTTATTAATCACACCAGATACTGTAACTCCTGGTTACAGCTTCCCATTTGAGTCACACCCAGTAACAAGGCCTTAAGAGAAGCATCCTAGTGCCAGGGAGCGAATGCCCAGACAAGCCTCACTTCTCAACAGCAAGACGCATGTGATGCTATGAACAATCCATTATTCACGGATTGTAAGGCATTAACACAAAGCACTGCCAACTGTCTGCATACAAGGAACAAAGCCTGGTAAGTATTCACTCGTCAAGATCAATCAACAGCTACAAAAACTTGAACGAATGCAGTAACAAGCTGTGGTGTGCCTTTTAGGCAACCAGCCAAATTAGCACCTGCTCTAAGCAGATGTAGCTCCTCTGAACTCCCTCTAGCACACAGCCATTACCAGCTTGCGAGGGCTCTCCTTGCAAGCCACGAGGTGGTGCAGTTAATGCACTTTTGCCACTGAACGGGACTCCTGAAGAGGAGAGAGAAGGCAGGTCAAGACACTTGGATGATGACAGGCAAGAATCCAGCCAACAAACACTCAAAAGTGATAATAGCTTCTAGGCCCCAGAAAAAGGTTGCAGAGACTAGTTTTAGGTGCAAACCTCAGCTTAGCAAGGCTGTGCATGCCCAGGCTAAAGGATGCAGAGTAACAGAAAGAAGGCCACTCTGCAGGAAGGGGAGCTCTCTCAAGAGAGGTGCTGCCCATCTGTGCCATCACAAGCTACAGCCCATTTCTGCCTCTGCAGTGCCTGTAGACCGTGTTCAGCCCCAGCTCTTCCTGGTGTCCTTTTGTGCGTTCAACTGCAAGAATGAGTACGTTGAACAACTCTTAGAGAGGTGGCAAACAGAAAACCTCCACCTAAGATGTTTGCATAGCATGAGCAAATGCAGACACATTAATTCAAAGCAGCAATTATGCTCTTTGCTCCTCGGTTAAGAAGGAAAGCCCAACTCAGATGTCTCTGTGGAGCTGCTGGGTTTGAGCTGCCCGACAGATTTTTTGGGGGAATTTGTGCAGTTTAGGCAAAGGCTAAGTTGATTTCACATTTAGCATTTGATAAAATACCTATAAAAATCAAGCCAGCCCCATGCAAACATGAATGACTGACTTGCACGGCCAGTAACGATTCAGTATACTAGTGCATTAGCCACTGTAATTAAGAAACATGTAGAAATAGATTTTAAGAAAGGGGGAGGGGACACTTTTAAGGGATGCTTCTCTGGAGTTTTCCAGGGTGATGCGCCTGGATACCATAACACGATATTCTGCGACATTAAAGGAAAACTTCATGATGAGCAGAAAACAACCATTCAGATTACAGTAAGGAGAGATCTGCCTCTTGGTTTTGCCCATGTCTCTATAATAATTTTGGTGTGACTGGTCAGAAGTGAATTTAGCAAAAGTGGCAAGTGTGACTTAAGCTCTATCTAATCTAAATCTAATCTGCTAACCTCAGTTTCTTTCAACTTAGAAGTTCCTAAGAAAAAGAGTAGAGCAAAAGGGTTTTGAACGCATACGAGCCACAAACCTCAAAGATTTGCAGTGACAGCACTCCGAGTAGCATTGCTCATCTGCACTTTTGTCTTCTGAATGACTTGAAACAGCATTCCCCTCATATATTTATTAGTTACCTGCAGGTGGCTTGGATGGCTTTTTTGGTGAACAGGGACCACAAGACCGTTCTCTGTGACACTCCAGATAGCTGACTTGGTCTGATCTTAAGCTGTATCAATGGTTCTGCTAAAGTTCTAGCTGGATGCAAATAGTCAGCCAGTCTGCGTAGAGGTGGCCAGTACGTTTTGGTGTTTTAGCCACCTAATCAAACAAGAGAAGGGAGCACTCAGAGAGAGATCCTGGACTTCAGATACAGGGGGAGGTGTATACACATTCGTAGGTTCTGTGAACACAAAGGAACAAAGAAATCTCTACTGTTGCAACAATAGAAGTATTCTCTGCTAATGCAATCCCTCCTGACAATGAAAGATAGTACTCAGCTTTTCCAGTCTAGATGAGCTACTATTCTCCTTTCTACGTTAGTGCTAGGAGGAAGAAAAACAAACACAAAAATCAATCCTCCAAACCCAACAACACACACTATCATAAAACATCTTTCACCCAACACAGGTGTTAACAAACCTTATAGGTCCCGAGGAAGAACTTCCTACCAAGGGGTACGTTCCAAATAAATAAAATTTTAAAAATAGCTGAGGAAGGTTGTAAAGATTAGTGACAACTCATGTGGTCTCATAATGACAAGTCTGTCAGCCTCAGAAATCCACCTGAGGCAACCACAGATCGGGAGCTTCTTCCTTGTGTTAAAAATATTAATGCTATTTATACAAGGTCCCACACAACACCATGCAGAACAGTAGGGCAGGTGATTTGTATACATTCAGAAAGGATCTGCTAACACACAAAGGGCAGAGAAGGCTGTGACTGTGACCAGAGCAAACTGGCCCGCCTCAGGGTATAAATGAATCTGGAAAGCATGCCGTTTCTGCAGTCCTTGAGGCCATCTAGTTCTTCCTCTACAATATCCCAGCACTGGAAATAGTGCTTAGCTTCAATGATAGCATTTTCCGATGGCACACAATATTCTTATTGGAGGCATAGCTCCTAAATACTAGGGAATCAAGCCCGGCACTGATTCCTAGCAGCTTTCTTCTAGCCCCAAACTTCTCCTATTAATTTCAGGGAATTCCTCTTACAGGGCAAGGAGGAAGAAGGGTTCCCTTTTGCTCTTCCTACAGGTCACCAATGCTTAGCTTTCATCATCATCTGCACTGATGGTAGAGTACCAGCAAGGGAGGGAAGCGCTGCTAGCGATAGTGGTTTGCTAAACACATCAGCCAGGTTCTCCCAAGCTCTAGTGCTCTTATGCTTGCTCTGCATTTAATATCTTTGTGGCTCTCCAAGCCCTGCAGGATTCACCTCCTTTTTCTGCCCTAGGGGCAGGAGAGCTCTGTTTTCAGGGAATTAGATAGTCATAGTAGCCCATCCAATAAAATAACATCTCTTTTTCTATTTAGACCTTTGGCAGATAAACTACTACTGATAAACACAATAAAGTCTAAGTGTTCTAGATTTAACAGAGTGTTAGAGCAAAATCCAGTACGTGAAAACCCTCTACACCAAATTGCTTTGGTACCACAAAAGCCAGGATTACAGTGGCTGAGTTAAAAGTACCAAAGGAGATCTTTTTGCGGTGAAAGAGCCAGACTGGCTGACTCCAGTATAACACAGCCAATACAGACTCCAATATTAGCAGAAGTACAGGCATCAACCAGATACCTCTGATGTGCATGGCAGAGTCAAGCTGTAGGAACTTTGAGGCATCAGCCCTATCCAAGTCTTCCTCTCAGATGCTCCTGCAATCTTTTGGAGTCTGCAACACTAGTTATAACAGTGGTGCTTTCCAGGTTGGAATTTGCACCGTTTTTCACTGCAAAAAAACATTCACATTAATCAAACATCTGCAACATCAACTAACTGAAGTGCAAGAATCCACTCAGAGCATGAATATGAGTTTCCTATTCATCCTATATAACTATTTTACGCACTGTTGAGCTCTCTGTATCACAGAATCCACGCTATTTTATTCAACTGCTGCTTTAATGAAAGCTGAACAGTTTGTTTCCCTTGCAGCATACCTTCCCAGAAGGCATCCAGCCTTGCTCTGAAGCAAGTTGATCCATCATTGTCCATTGTACCTTGTTCCAATAGTTAGGTCATCTGAAATGTCTGGCTTTAGTTTCTGGGTACTAGTTTATATTATAGTGTCCTTCACTAGATTAGGGAACAAGTAACTGCCTAGTATTTTCTTCTTATAAATGCACGCCAAGATCTTGGACATGAGTCAAAGAACAACAAAAAAAACAACAGCCCCCCTCTCCCCCGGCATCAGCCATCTAAACGGACACACTTCAGAGCCCAGACTGCAAAGCAAGTCTTTGTTGCAGGGGAAGGGAGGGAAATAAATTAAACACGTGAAGCCTTGTCAGTCTGCAGCACTTAAAATTGCTTGAGAATTGGAGAACTTACCTTCTTTTCCAGCTTAAACTTCTTACCTGAATCTCTCATAGTAGCACTATTACTGATGCTGGAGTCAGATGTTAGAACATCTTTGTCCTTATGCTCGACATCAATTCTTTCTGCCACAGTAACGTAGCAAAAGCTAACGTTGAGCACCTGATTTAGCAAGGCCCTGCTAAAATTTACTCAAAGGCCTTTTTCTCCACCATACAAATCCTTCTCTCTGATTGTGGTCTAGATGCTTCATCACACGGCCTTGGGATAAGCAGAATGCTGAGCACGCTATACAGTCTGGTTTGCTCAATAACGCCAATGTTTTTGCCCAGGCTTTCATACGTGTTTTCACCGGGGAGCACGGGAGGAGGAGTGCAGAAAAGAAAAAAGGTCTATGCTGACCTTAGAATTGATCTATGGTAAAGTTCCTTTTACGATAAAAAAGGACCAAACAAAAAAACCCCCAATAATCAGTCATTAATTCCCTCACCACAATGTAACCTCTTAACTCCCCCCCCCAAGTGCACTTTTCAACATGTACAAGTTTTTTTCTTTTTAATTGCTATGGCACACAAGCAGCTTAAAGACGACAAATCATTTAACTGGTTATAACCAAGAGGCATGAAAAAGCCTTGTACTACATGACTTATTTTCCACTAAGTCATGCAGGTTAATCAAATAACATTGTAATCCAATAGCAATTTTACCATTTGTTGAATGGACTAACCCGACTACAATTACTCCAGTCTCTCCAAGAACGAGAAGTGCTGACTCAGCCTTTTGGTAGTGGCCAGCATGCCAGGATAAATCTGGTATAGTAACAGCTTTTCATCCAAATCTTCAGCAGTCTAAGTTTTTCTTTAAATCAGCCTGCTGATTTAAAATATGGAACATCCTCCATTACAAATGTAACTAGCAAGTCTGCCTGCTTCTTTCCTAATAAGAACAGTTATTAAATATGTCTTATCATTTTTACTGTTCTGTTTGAATTTCTCTTATTTCCTACAGAAAATCCATCCTCCTTGTGCCTACCAACCATAGATTTTTCCCTGACAAAGTCTAGAAAATTACATGAGTTCATTTTCTCTTAGCCTGTATTATACATCACTTCACTTTCAATTGCTGCTTTTACTTGCTCTCTTAGAACATATTCTAGAGTCTTCCATGATAGCATGATTTCAATTTCCTGGGGACTTTTGGAATTACATTCAAGTTTCCAATGACTTGCTCCTCCTAGAAGGCTCTGTTCACTATTCTTCACCTTGGGAAAATGTATCCTGAACACCTCACACGTTAAAGAGCAGCCTGCTCTTCGCTTCACTGGATTACATTTATACCTGTATGTTTGCTAGCGTCTATACAAGATCTAAGTATTGTCAACATATTTGGTCTGAACTCAGTTTTGATCTTGTTTGAGCAGGAGGTTGGACTAGATGACTTCTTGAGGTCCCTTCAACCTGAATGCTTCTAAGATAATTTTTTTTTTTTTTTTAAGATCAGAGATGAGGTTGAGAGCAATTATTTTATATGTACAATATTTTTCATCAATTTTTTATTATTTCTAAGAATATACAACATATTATTACAACTATAGACAATCTCTGAAAAGCCTCCATCTCCTCCTAATTTAACTTGCCTGAAGCTGGACAAGTTAAATTAACATTTCATCTAGTTTTCATAAAGTTACTTTACTTGTTTTTACGCAATTTTCTTCACGAAAGCATAGAAAGACTCAAGTTACTAGTCCTGACATTGACCCTAAGAACTTTTATTTTTAAAACAAGTGATTACAAAAAAGGTTCACATACATGAAATTCCACTCCTCAGTAGCATGGTGAACTATACGCTTATTTTCGTGACCGTTTGTGTTCTATAAGCAACACAACAAGTCTGTTCCGAAGGAATTTTATTTCCTTCGCATATGACCTGCAAAATAAGTCCTTCAGCTTTTTGCGCAAAACTCCCAAAGAAGGAAGGCTATGGCAGTTTGGTATGTTTAGGATGCTGTCAAAGAACTCTTTCCACAGTTCGGCATTGGCAACTCTACAAAGCAACAACAAAACAAAAATAAATGACTAAATTCAAACAGTTAAAACACTTTCCTCTATTTACCCTTTTACCCCCCAAGTTACAGATTGGAGGAACCGCAGAGCACACACCAGAACAAAATGCAGTTTCCTCTGTGGCATGCTGCTTAGTGAGCCAGTCCAGTTTTTCCTCACTAGCTGTAGTTTCCTACTTCCAGCTATCAAGAAAATAGGGATGCCCTCCAATTCACCATATCCACTGCTGAAATGCTTCCTGTACTTAAATCTGTGAAGTCTATGAAGTGGTTAACATGTATTAAACCCACAGTTTTTAGAGCATCAAAAAGGCAAGTGCAAGCAGTACGGAGAGCTATGTCAGAAACTAACCTCAAAACTGAAATTAATGATATATCTTTCTGTTAAAGGGAAGTTTCTGAAGAGATTTTTGACACCAACCTTCTGAATACTCCCTCAGGCTTCCAGATACCATTTTCATTCTTCACTTTCATGTAGGTACCAAACAGCATGCAGTAGACAGTTGCTGCAATGCCAAAGTAGTCTGTCTAAACAAAGCACACACACGTTTCATATGAAAAACATGCATCCAGCCCACTAACAGTTTCCCCCAAAAACTTCAAGGAGCCAACTGGGCAAGTTCCACAAGAAGGTTGAGGATCATTTCTTTAGAGCAAAGAGCATCAAGAGCTGAACTGTCACACTAGTGCAAGAGACTAATATTTCTATACTCCATCTATTCATGTCAGATGCACTTTTTTTAAGCTCCAAGAATTCAGACTGTCTGTACAATCACATACCTGGTAGTTCCATGGTTTCTGTGTCAGCATTTCAATACATTGAAACCCAGATGTTTCACATCTTGCAGTAAATGCAGTTCCTTCAGGAAAGAGTTTCATGTCTATACTCTGTCCCAAATCAATGAGCGTCAAGCCATGACAGAGACCATCTATATCACATGTATCATTGTCCAGAAACCTGCAACCAAGATAACAAGCAACCAGCACTTAAGCATCACGATTGTGATACAATGATATGCCGGCACCTCAGGGAGTAAAGGGAAATACTTGCTTTTCTCCAAGTATGAAATTATCAGGTTTGATGTCACCATGAATGATCCTGCAGTTGTGGAGCTCTTCTACCATATAAAGAATTTTTACAGCAAAATAGATTACAAGTGCTTGAGGCATCACCTTTTCAGGAAGCTTTTTGTAAATGTTTATGGCATTCTGTGAACAAAAGGGAGATAGGGAAGAACTATCAGCTACACGGAAACAACTTAATATGGATTGCAGGTCCACGTTGCTAAGTGCAAAACACGTTCACAGTAAGGTTCTATAAAGCTGACTGTAGAAGAGATTTCTGAATATTGTGATATATAACAACACTCTAAGAAGTAAGAGCACAGATGTTTAGAGCAGAAGCTGAGCACGCTTACCAGCAACGTTCCATAGTTGTAGAGTTCACCAATCAAAATGCTTCCGTTTTGAAAGAAATGAGCAGAATAAAAGTGGATGTACAGATGGTGTATACTTGGATTAAGTCTTTCTACCAATTGCGTTGCTATATAGAACTCCCAACGACTGGCAGGTTTTTGGACCTGTAACCAAAAGGTTGACTTACTAGGTAAATCTATTGGCATTAAGGAAAGCAGAAGATCATCTCAGTGTTTTAAATGACAGACTCAAGTACTTCTCCTTTTAATCAAGTAGAATACTTACATCTACAGTGATTAACCTCAAAACAATGCACTCGGTGATTGATCCTCTTGAAATAAGATTTCAACCAAGGGCCACAATTCATTGCAGCTTCCTGTTAAAGTTTTTTTTTTTTCTTCCCCCTGATGTCTCAGACTCTTGCTGGCAACATTTATTTTGTTTAAGAGAGACTGTTTATGACAACGAGTTCAAGACAGGAAAGCCTTTCTGATTCCCCCTACTATTTCCCCCCCACTACATTAAACATTGGATGTTCAAAAAGAAACGTCTTAAAACGGCCACCTTTACATACTGGAAAATTCCCAGCTAAGATGTTATACTAAAATGATTTCTTTGCTGAAAAATCAACTGTTGCAGGAGAGCTCCACAAAAAGATTCCAAAGGTAGGAAAAAAAAAAAAACTTGATGTGGAGAGCTTGAGGGGGGCACTCTGTCACACAGCCACATTTCAACTGAGCTACACTAACTATATGATCTAGTATAACCCTCTTGGACTAAGCTGACTTTGAAGTTACATACGCTTTCCTTTCAGAATTGGTCTTGGTTTAAACATCCTATCATCAGTTGTTTGTTCCTGCACTGTGAAGCAGCCTGGAAGACAACTGCAGAGCAGAGGTGGGAGCCGCTCAGTCTAGAACTGGCAGGTATGCTGCTATCAATAGGGCTATGAAAGCGCAAAAAAGCCAGTGGAAAGGTAGTGGGCACATATCTGCAAGAAGCACTGGCCCCTTCAGCGCGAGCTAATCATTTGAGCAACTTCATCGTCAACCCAAACAAATTTTCATTTGCAGTGGACTAAGAGCATGTGCACAAATAACTGCCTTTGTTCAGGTGAAAAAGAGCTTGCTGTAATTCTTAGTCTTTAGGATACTTATGACTACTTTTAAAGAGAAGATGAAGAGGTAAGTTGAGTCTGACGGTTAAATAACTTCCCAGGTGGAAAACGCATCAGATATCAAAGTGCTCAGATTGAACAAGGCTTTGAGGATAGACCAAAACGCCTTACTTGATATGCACAAACACGGAAACTCAGCAGAATCCATCCAGGGTGAGTGTCAGAAGGTGTCAGATTACTATAAGACTCCAGAATTTTCCATTTTTCTGAATCAACGCTACTTACCTTCAATATTACTTTCTGATTGTTTCTAGGGTTATTTGCATCCAGAATGGAAGCCTGATAGACTTGAGCAAAAGCTCCTTCTCCAAGCAAGCAGTCCACATGGAATGAGTTGGAACCTTTTGTAGGGGAAAAAGAGATAAATAGCATTACATGCCGCTTGCAAACTTCACAGAA